AGCAGTTTGCTTTTCTTTAAATTTTTATGTCACTATTTTTTTCTGAGCGAAATGGGAAATTGAGCCAATACGGTCGTTTGGTACGGGACCAGCATTCGGTTCTTTATATGTTTCTTTTTAATTTGATACTTTATACTGACTTAACATTCGTGTAGTTTCCGCTCCTTTCGACTGCCGTTTTGTGCTTGTCGTTATAAGCAATTGAAGGAAATCTCGAATCTGTTCCCTGTGTTATTGCTTGGGACGGCACTTTGATATCTTAGATGGTATCATAATAAATAAATAATCCACGAACACATTTTTCAAAGTAAATAAAGTTTAAACTTCAAAGTAATTTAATATTATACAAAAATAAGTGGCCTGGACGCAGAAAGAAAAATGGAGGGCGATGCAATGTCCGGAAAAACAGAGCCGTGCCGAATGGTGCTTCGTTAAAGCGATTTCTGCCGATCCACGCAGTTTTGAAAACTCGTGGACGCTTATAGATATGTACACTTGTCGGCGTGGATTCCTTAAGTCTCTTTGATGGTTTTGTTTCCAATAGAAGGGAAAAAGAGAACGACATACTGCCTATTCCCTTTCAAAACGATGAATATTTTTTTATTCCTTTCCTCCTTTTTTGTAATTTTTATGTGTGCATCTATATTTACTGTATTTTAGTTTCATCTTTCTGAATGCTCTGAGATCGAGATAAAAAAATATGTTTTAAGCTGTCTAAAGAGTTGTCGCCGTACCCTCACAGCTTTGCTTTGTTTGACTGTTTTTTTGCCTGCTCATTTCGTGTGCTTTGAGCAGATGCGGCTGCAGGCCCAAAATAATCGCCTTTAAAGGCAATGAAGATTATGCACATTTTAGGGTGGGCTGGTGCTAACGTGAATGTTTGCTTTCTCAAAAATGCACACACACGTGCACACATTTGTAGAGAACCATGGGACTCAGTAGCCGGGTATGTTAAGAGGATATCACAGTAGATTTACATCTCCGATTGAAGATATATTTATGAAGCCAGATGTCGCCACTGCCCTGGCTTGGCAAAATACGATTCAAAAGTCAAGCCATTCTGGCATGCCTTTTTTGTAATTTTACCGGTGACTCTTCAGAGTGAAATAATTCCCATTCAAATTTTATAAATTGATAAAATAAAGGACGATCAAGCAAGCCCCAAATGCGCTATTCAACGTTTAGAAACCGGTTCGGCCTTTTTTTTTTAGAAGTGACTGTGGTAGAAAGTAGAAGGAGAAGGAGGGGGGGGGGGGCGCTATGTGCCTCCCTTTTCAATGCGTTTGCCGCCTTCTTTTACAGTGCTTCGTGCTGGCGGCCATAAAAAAGCTCGAAACCAATGTTTCCACCTCTGTTAGTGACTTTCAAGTTACAGTTGAAGGGAGAGCATATTTTGTGCTCTTTTCGGGTATTGAGCTGAAGCTCAAGTATTTTACTAATCAAAGCCACAGCCGCGTTGCTCCTCATTTTTATTAATATAGCCAATAAGCCTATGTTCTTCTTTAAAATTACAAGTTATATAAGCTTTAGCTGAACTTTTTCCAAAAAAGCGGAATGAAAACTTCGAATCGCTACTACTACATTCCTTTTTTAACAGAATGTAGTAGAAAAGTAAATGCAGCGGTGCAAGTTTTATCAAAATATGTTTCTTATATCCCGATAAAGTGGGAATGTTCCAGCCACCAAGTTTTTTTACACTGCTATTCGTGACGGTTGTACGCCCGGCTGACCAAGGTAAACCTGCCACTTTAGTGGCAAACGTTCAGCAACACTTCCGTTAAGAATGAAAAAAATTGTAATTATTTATTTTATTGAAAAAAAAAAAAATGAAATTCAAACGTGAAAAAAAAGAGTGTAACGATCAATGATAACGTGCACGCTATGTTTGCCCGCGTCTTGGGGAAGTCCCTCATTTGTCCCTCTTCAAAAAAAGGCTGATGAACTCTGCGAGCACTCACCTAGTGCTGCAATTATTCCAACAAGTGCGAGATAGCGGTCAACTCCAAACATGGCTATAAATAGGGAATGCACGAACTGGAGGATTTCGTCTGATACTTATCGGAAATTGACATTTAGATCATACAGACTACGAATATTTTTCTGCTTTGCTGTCGTCTTATTGTGTTTACCAAGGTAGTCAACACAAAATACTCAACGGACGCTGTATATCGCTGCTATGGCTGAAGACGTTCTGTCAAGGCGCAACTGCACAAGTCTGGCCACCACTTCGTTTGTTTATGACTGCGGCGCGCGTGTTGTCTTGTCTCACGATCACAAGACTTTGCGAGCTCCCGAATGCATGACACGAGAGAGAAAGAAGGATATATAATGCGTTATTAGGGTTTCTATGAAGCAGCGCACAGAGTAAGTCTAAGCGCGTGGCAATCAGTTCCTCCGAAAAGAAAAGTGCACCAAGGGAAAACAGGCGATAATTCCGTGTGCTCTGCGGTCCATGCCCTCTTTGGCTTCCGTAAAGCCCCTTTTTATGTTCCCAAGAGGGGCCACCACCGCCTTGTGGGTTTTGCTTTCTGCTTGAGCCGACGCCTTTCTAATTTAATGCTGATTAGGTCGGTGCCGCTAGTATTGCGCGCGCCGCTTTCAGGGCTATCGACATTTCGATTTTGAGGCGGCGTTGGCTCCTGGGGACGATAGTATATTGGCAAAGCTGTTGCTTAACACCGGTGCCTCCAGGGAGTCAAAGCGATAGCACGTCCTCTGCAAACTGCGTGCACGTAGACACAGGATTACAACGGATGCCCTTCGAACCTCGTGAGTCTAAAAGGGATTTCATGGGTGGGTCGTGTGGGTTTTTACGCTTAGCGGCTATGCTTTTCTTGCCAATCTGTCACGTCCGACAATGCAGGGTAAGAAAACAGCTTCCGCATCGGTAGAACGTCATTCTTCAAATACAGAGACAATGTGATTATCAACAGTTTCGCTGGGAAAATTTTATTGTGAAATAAATAAAATGCAGGCATTGTTTTGTCTGTAGTTTCAAGAAGGCCTCACTGCCATGACCCTAAACTAAAACGATCAGAGAGCCGGAGTTGGAGTTACTCCACGAGGGCTTTCGAATAAACCGATCTCACCAGCCAGTTTGACTACGCCACTGCTGCCGCAATGCATCGAGGGAACTTTAGTGTTTCTGCGCGTGCAATAACCTTGCTGGAGCTCTGAGTTTGTGGAGCACGAGACGGCACGAACCCTTGCATGCGTGGCTGTCTGCCTCCCGTGAACCAAAGTTATGGCGGCGTCACGCATGCGTCGAACGCTTAGCGAGATCGGCATATTCTCTTCCCGGGACGCTGTGACCATGAAAGAGTATCCATCAGTTCGTGCATTCCCTAATTGCCAAATTCGGGGATGACCCTTTTTCTCGCGCTCGTTGGAATTATTGCTGTACATGTGAGTGCTTGGAAGAATCCGTCAGTCTGGTTTAAAGATGGGCAAAAAACGAACATCTGATTACACTTTCATGCCAAGACTGGAGGGTGTATTGGGCAACTAGTGCGCTCAATATCCTTACTCTTTATTATATGTTTTTTTTTTTTGTTTTTCAACCTGTTTTTTACTTTGGTCGAATAAATATTTACACGCATGTTTTTATCTTAACGGGCGTATTAGTGAAAGTCTGTCGGTGAAATGAGAGGTTTACCTTGGTCAGCCGGGCCTACAACGGTCGTAACTAGCAGTTTAACAAGCTTAGTGGCTCAAAGATTCCCTCTTCATTGCGAATATAGCTATAACTATTTGCATATAATTTGTAACAAGGTTTGTACTTTTCTACTACTTTCTGTAAAAAATTGGTTGTAGTAGCGAATAAAAGTGAAAAGTCTTGGGGTAAAGCTCCTAGAACTTGTGGCATTAAAGGTCAACAGATGCTTATTGGTTAAATACATACAAAAGACGCGCAACGGGGGTATTCTTTTATTTAGTAGAATACTTGAACTTGAGCCCAATACAGCACAAAATATATATAGTCACAAAATGTTCGGAATCAAAAGATAATCTCGGCTCTGGCATTGGGCGAAAATGCCAGCGTGGAAGATACACTTTGAAGCACTGTAACTTTGCAAAAAACAAAGATGCAACATTTAAAAAAAAAATAAACACAACAGTAGGGTGGAGAAATATCACTATAATTTTCAAATAAATCGAAGACGGCTTTCATTTTTTATTGCCCCTCGAAGTTTCTTATTTTTGTATTTAGAAAAAGTTGGGAGCGGCATAATAATTTCGATCTTTCAAATAAAACGATGATTTGGTCATCATTCCAAAGAACGTTTTAAGAAAAAAATTATAACACACATTCTTATGTTGTGGCTATTATTAAATATTTGTAGATAATGGCTCAAAATCTACTTACAACACGTCGAAGTAGCCATGTTTGTGCATTTTTGACGCGAAATGTATGAGCGCCACAATGTTGACATTTATTACTCAGTGCTTTCTATGACTCATTATCAGTAAAAAATGTTTGATATATTTTTTTTTAATATTTGTAGTTTTTGTAGTAGGTGTCATCAAAGATGGCACAAACGGAAACTTCAACAATCGCATATGCCGTTCTGGTGCACTGATTTCTTTTTTTTTTATCTTTAAATATTAGGTTTTTGCTAATCGTTTTTGGTTACATTCCCTATACATGTTAAGGTATAACACCTAAAAAATAACAAAAATTATAAATACGTCCGAACTCGCGTGCATAATCCTCTCTCTCTCTCTCTCTCTCTCTAAGTATATATATAGGTTGTCTATTTTTAGTGTAATAGGGATTATCGCCGACAGAACCCGCAACTATTTTGTGCAGCGTTCTTCAATTTCGAGCCGAGGTTGTTTAAAATTTCGACCGATGGATCTGGCCCTTCCTTTGATCGAGATAATAAATAATATTCAACATTGTGAATTTACAGTCGTTGCCTTTCTTGTGAAAGATTCGTTTTTCGACCAATTGTGAAAAAAAAAAAAAAAGAAAAAAGTGCGGCGTCAACGGGTTTGGCGTTTTTAGGATAAAAAAAAGCGAGCTGGGCCGGTGACATTGGTGCTAACACTCCCTTCATTAAAAATGGGTTTTCGTCGCTCATTTGTTCATGCATTTATATGCACTGTAGTACACGTGAAACACCGGTTGGAAAGGCGTGAGAGCCTACGCTTTCCGGGAGAGAGGCGTTCGCCTCTCCGTCGGTCGCTCCCGGAGGGGTGATCTTCCCTCGGTGAAACCATGGAGAGACGCGACGGCTCCTCGCCAATCGCGTACTCCGGTGCGTATCAAGACTATGGGTCCTGAAATACAGTTACAAATCACCATCACACTGAAATTTATAAACGATTTTGACTGCGCGTATTAAAAAAAAAAAAAAAAAACTCTGCGATACAAAACTGAAATTAAAACGGAATAAGAGCCCAGTTTTTATGCTTTATTACAAGCTTCACGTCAGTGTAATTGCCAGTAAAAGAAAGTGAAAATAACGAAACAATTGACCAATCCAGATATAGTTTACGTTCGCGGAACAAAGCGCAACTTCTGCGCTTTCGGACTGTTCATTGTGACGCAGTCCGAGGAGAGGTCGACTGCGACGCCATCTTCAGGCATCACGTGGAACTTCTGCAGAATTCCTGTAAGGTACAGGAAGATCTGAATATTGGCGGCCGCCTGTCCTGGGCACATCCGTTTGCCTGAAATGAGAGGAAAATGTAATACGTCTCAATCATATCACGCACTGCAATTGTCTATTTACAGCTAATCGCGCTCAGTTCGGTGGACATCCTCCGTTTCGCAGAAAGTTCGAGCACAGCCACGGCTACGATTCGATGTAGATAATCAAGCACTTCCTCGACTTTTTCTCTTCTTTGTTTTTGCGTCTGCGATTATCGGCTAAACCAATCTCACCCCAAAACAACCCGCAGAATCACGGGGCCTTCACTGTGCATCACTGGTTTAATCGGGAATCTAAACGCACCCGTCCCCTCCTCCGTGTTACCTTCCTTGTGGTGGAGCACAGATATTTTCTTATGCCACCGATGTGTACAGGTCGAGTGGGGAGTAAGGGGACGAGAAATCTAGGAATCGAAACCAACGGTCGGCTGGTTTTATCTTAGATGTTCTTTGGAGCAACCGATAGCTTCCTTTTTGAAAAAGCCGGTCCCGACCTTGCGAGGAATATTTAAGAGCGTGAACACAATCTTGCGCCCTTGTCGTAGACTTTCACGTTGGATCCTCTACATCTTCAGCGAAATGGTGGGTTTTAGAGCGCCCTGCAAGCTTTCTCGTAGTTGTGCGCGCCGACACCCTGGTTCAACCTCAATGAATGTCAAAAGTGTCGAATAAGCAGCTGTATTAGTTCGCAGTGCACGGTTGGGTTCTAACTTTAGCTACATCAAATGTGTGAAAAAAACCAGCGCTTCTTTTCTTGCTGTACCATATTGCATGATTTGAACCTGCAAACTAATTTTCTCTATATAATAGTTTATGTAGCGAGTCCAAATAAAGCGTTGCAGCGAACTGAGGTTGTCCCATCAACGAACGAACACGCGAGCATGCAGGCAACTTCAAACGCCTAACATCACCTGGACACTTAGCTGCTCATTGTGAAGCATGCAAGCGCAAGGACAAGCTCGAGCTAGACATCCAACCCAGGACACCACAAGGAAAGGCTCACAGGAGAAATATTAGACGCCCTAGCCATAGAAGAAAGAGAAGAAAACTGCGTCAGTTTAAAGCTTCTCTATCCTGGGAAAAGTCGCGCCATTCATTGTTGTAGAAATGCTCGAGGCACGTGCCGCGCCCCACTTTTGGGAAAAACATGGCGTCTGAAATCGAGCTCAGTTCTAGCTCAGTGCTACAGTGTTCTAGAGAGCTGTAGTAGCAAGAGCGGCACCCGGTTACAATGGGCCGCGTGAAGACGGTCGACGTAGATGGCCGCGAGGGATTAACGTGGCGCTGGAGTTCCGGGGCCAAGGAGAATCGGTGGCACATGTGCAAAGAGCGAAGAAAGCGACGCTGGAGGCGGTACGCTTATCACGAGCATAACGCCATAGCACTTATCTTTGTGGTGTAGTGGTGGGGAGTCTTCACCGTTTCGTTGCCTTTTCGGTCATGAATGCAAGGAAAAAGACGGACATACACTGCTTCTCGCCGGGATGCAAGTAGGGCTACTCGGACAACAAAAGCAGCCTGAGCACCAGCGATTATAAGCCGTCGCTGTTTCGTGCGCCAAAAAAGGAGTCGCGCCGACTACAGTGGGAACAAAATCTTAAACGAGAAGATAAACGCCTCGCCGAGACATCACCGGTGTGCGACAGACATTTTGAACCGCGCCTTATTCTTCATGACTATGTGCACATCTTCAATGGCGAAGAGGTTAGGATTCCACGGAGTAGGCCAGTGCTCGCGGAATTGTCCTGCGTTGCGAAAAGCTCCGGTCGAACCACAATAGTACGCGCCGAACACCGCCGACGACGGGGCTGAAAGGGGCGAGCTCCTAGGGCTCAGCACAGCAGCGCCACGGTGTCGTCTACGCGCAAAATCTTCTCTAGAACACTGTATCAATGCTGCGCTGTGTCGCCATGATCTTCCCAAGGGCTGGACGTTGCACGCTCCTCCTGCATCAACACACTTTGCGCTACTTTTAGAACTTGAAGGGACATTACGTCAGTTCACCTTCAATCACCCAACAGCAAAGTGAAAAGAAGTTCCTGCGGGGCGCCAATGTCCATGTAAAAAAGGGAAAAGTGGTACAAACAACGGGATGAACGAATCATAAGAAAAATAAGACTTAACAATAGCAGTAGCAACACCAGTAGAAAAAGAAGCGGAGGTTTAACAAAAAGTTGGTAGTCCAGCGATCGGGTGTCTTTTCTCCTATCTTTATCATTTTCTATAAGTTCAGCTGCTCCCACTAAACAAGTACAACCAACTATCTCAGCTCATGCCCCCCATCCCAAAGACATCACCTATGTTAGTCTCTAGTTCAGGTACCTATCGTAAAGATACGGCCTGCCGATCTGTTCTAAGTTTCAGGGTGTTTGAAAAGAAAAGGTAATTTATGTAGACTTGGTTGATCAAGTTTACTATTATTAATACCATTTTAAGCACTCATTACATTTAGCTTTTTTCGTTTTTTACAAAGATTATATACGCTACGGTATACACTATATATTATCGGTCTTATGATGTCGGGGTCCAGATTGTTCAGCTTGCGTTCGCATGAGAAGCATATATTTACGCATAAACAACAAAATTAAGAAATTAAAAAAAATATATATATTTTTGCGCGTGACCGCCAATAGGTGATGCATTGCATACTTTTCTCTTGCAAGACTAGAACTATGAAAAAGATCGGGAACACACGCATCTAAAATATGGACTCGTAGAGGTAATTATTAAATAGTGTATACTAAAATCAAGACAGGCAAGCATACGCATGTTCATCGGTTGAAATATATAAAAACAAATTGCGCTATGATAAAAACACACGCACAAAGTGAGTCGCCTGTGTTGATTATTCGATTATTAAACAAAGTATGTTACAACAATACAATACATACATTGCGTGCCTTTATTTAAAGTTTAAAGGCAGACCCTAAGCAGTAATGAAGCTAACTTAGAAAACGCACATTCTCTATTTCTTTTGTCCCTAATACATCGGACGTATAAGGTACTTTTTTAACCATCCTCATGACGGAGAAGATAAATCTCGGACAGCAAAACTAAAGGATACTGAGTTCAAGCTTTACGCTTATCCCGTTTTTGTATGGATGAGCATCGTACCGGCGTGCAATCGTGTAACACTACAGCTTGGCGCATGTTAAAGACCCTAGGCTAAAAGCCGCATCGCATTGGCTATTGTTATTTCAACAATGTGTAAAAATGCCACTATTATCGGGCAGGCCGAATTCACGCTGTTTTGAAAATCCAACCGCAAGTTCTTGTTTGTTTTTGTGTTTTTTTTTTTTTTTTGTCTTTTTTTTTTGTGACGCAGCTAACGCGCTTTTTGACTACCATTTTTTGATTCCGTCAATTAAATAGCTCGTGTCGGCCAACGCCTTATATTAAGGGTAATTCTAGACATCCCATAAAAAAACAGTGCTTACCAGTAGAAAATGGCACGAAGTGCTTAGGCTTTGCAATCAGTCCCGAGCCGTCGCCTTTCAGGAACCTCGAAGGATTGAAGACCTCCGGATCCTTCCATACTTTCGGATTCATGTGCACAGCCCACAGATTAGGCAGGACGACCGTTCCTTTGGGAATCACGTAGTTGCCGATGCGGGTGTCCTCCTCACAGCTAAAACATCAGTTGCATCTTGTATTCCGTGAGTAGACATACATATTTTATTTTCGCGATAGCTAACAATGCGTTAACCAAGTGTGATGTGTGACAACTGCATCGTAAACATGCAGTCATGCGTGTTTACAAACAATAAAACACAAAACAAATCAAAAGAGCAAAAATGAGTGAGTGGTAATTGATTGAGATTACAGCCTCGACACGGCTTATACTGGAACCTGGCAATGTGTCGTTTTTTACAGCTTATACAACGGGCAGTATAGTTTCTTTAGTGCAAAATAACATTTTATAGGGTGCCTGAAACTCCCAGGCTCGATCTAAAACAGGCCGTAGAAATTGGCGCATGCACGTAGCCATCTAAAAGTTTCGTCAGAGGTGTGTAGCGTCTTGCGGTTTTCGAGACTCAAAGTTAAAATGGTCTGGAATGGTGAAACATTAACGTTCTATTTATTTAAGGAATGGCCGAAGACGAGGAGCATGCCGTCTTCGTAGTCTGGTGCTATTTTGTTGTATGGTCTCCCAGACGAGAGAGCTGTATCTGCGGTGCGATGGTGAGCTGAGCCATGTTATGCAATCTGGATATTGCGCGGAACTGATGCAAGCGCGCGGCAAGTTCCGCCAACGACGCGGCACCTGAGTCGGGTATCGTAATCCGAAGCTCACAGGAGCCGTTCGGGTTCAGCGGAGCATGTTCTCTCGGAAGCCCATGTATGTTGGTGCGTGCGCGAGTGACCGCAGTACTCCCTCCCCAGAGAGCATAGGCGTACGTTTGCGGAATGCTGTTATCCGACCTGCAGGGCATTTGCCTCGCCGCGGGCGACCGAGTGAGGCGTGTAGAAGGTGTCGGAAAAGATGCAAAGCCCAGGTGCAGTCGCCGCTACTGCACGTGGCGGCTGGAGCGTGTGTGGGTAATGCGGTTGCTGGACGTTCGGGGCGAGGATGGTTTGTGGAGGACAACGAGAAAAATGAATGCAGAAAGATAAAAGATTTCGATGATGCGTGGCGATCACTTAGTTTTTTTCCGTAAGCGCCGAACGCGAGTGGCGCCGGTCGGTGCTTAGAACCTTGTCTCGGCCGTCGTGAAAAGTTGGAAGTGTAGCCCGTGCATCAGGTCTCGCAGTCTCTGTGGGACACGTGCGTGATTTTCCTGCGTAAGCCAGGAGCGTCAGAAAGGCCGCCGAGAGACGTCCGCAGTAGCGTGACCGTGCCGAGTCCGCGCATTGAGTCGGCCGCGTGGTAGTACTTGCGTAGAGCAGCAGGCGGTGGGACGGTGGCGGTGAATTGTCGGCGGTGAGGCGCTTGCGGTGATTTGACTTGCGGTGAGAAGGCGCGTGTGTTGAGGTGTCCGCGGTGTTGAGGTGTCCGCGGTGAACTGAGTGCAGAGAGCGGCTCACGGTGAGCTGCGTCGTCTTGCAGCGTTGGGCTGTGTCCATTGAGTTGCGCTGGGTCGCACGCGATGATTTGCTTGGGTTGAGGGGCACGCTGTGAGTTGCGTGGTTTTGCCGCGTTAGGTTGCACGCATTGAGCTGCGTTTGATTGCACGCTGTGATTTGTTCGATTGAACAACACGCGGTGAGTTGCGCGGTTGCACGGATTGGGCTGCGTTGGGTTGCACGCGTTGATTTGCTCGGTGGAGTTGCACGCGGTGCATTTCGCGGTGTTGCTGCGTTGGGTTGCACGCTGTGAGTGGCTTGGTTGAGTGGCAGGTGGTGATTTGCGTGGATGCAGTTCCATGGCTGAGAAACTGGCAAGTCCCCTGCGTGCTTCAAGTCCCCTGCGCGAGCCGCCCGCTTGAGGTGGTCGCCGTGAGTGTTCAAGCTGGCCAAAGCGAAACTACACCACGCCTGTCGGACGTAGTTGAAGAAGGGTGTGAAGAATTGTTGCCCTCGTGCTCGATCATGTGTCGGAAAAATAAGCCGCATGTTTTCAACGACGAGTAGAGATATCGTGATTGGGACGATGCCGTTGCAATGTGTATACAATTGCGCCGTCCGCTCTCCACAAAAAAAAAAAAAAGAAGAAAACAAAAGTGGCGTGATTTTGACGACGAGTGGAGATATTGTGATTGTGACAACGCCGACCTGCCGCGGCGATCCCGGAATGGTGTTCCCGTGGATACAGTTGCAGACGCGGACGTCAAAAGGTTATTTCAAATTCTAGACCCCGGGCGATCAGGTAAGAAAACTAGTTTCACGTCCGACTTGTTACGATCACGCGACACTTTTGGGGACATATCGCATTTGTTCAAACTATTCTGTTTGGGAAGACATACACAAGCACTGTTGTTTGACGGCGTGGGGGAGTAATAAAGTCGAGTTGTTTCATGCTATGTTTCACGCCTTGCCTCAATGATGCCAGGAACAGTCGCTTTATTTCATTCTGAAAAGAAAAATCTGCCTCTTTAAGATCGAAATTGACGTTTCTAAAATTGACGTGAAACCAAACCCCAGATTCGGTTCCATGTGAAAAGATCTATATTCTTCCGCTGATATGAATTCTCAAAATTTAAGTTTTTTTTTATTTTTTTTATTTTTATTATTTTGTTTGTCAGTGTTTGGTGGAGTTTGTTTAAAGACTCGCACATAAACTGTCTGCAAGATCGCATGCACCAGAAAGTTAACGTCAATAAACATTATGCTCTCAGATTGAAAAACAGTAATGAAAACACTATTCTTTTAATTATTAAATATTTTATGCAGTACCAGGTTCGTCTGTGTCCGCGGTCTGTGTTATGAAAACTTGGATTCAGGCTAAAATAAAAAGGTACATTTGGAAGAATAATAATAATATCCTTTAATAGTTAATATCAATCCTTTATTTGCGTAAAACTCAAGTGGGATTGTTTCGATCAAGTTTCTCCGCCGTCCGAAAGAGTCGGTGATGTGCATCTTTGATTTCAAAATTAAGCGATCCTAGCGCTGAACGTGAAATCGACGCGCGCGTGAAAGAGACTGTCCGCGTTCGACAGCCGCGGAGTCACTACTCGTTGCATCTTTTATTTCGTGGAGCTCTGCTACAGTAATGTTGCCCAGTCAATTGCAAAACATTATACCACTTCAAGAAGCCAGTGGACGCGGAAAAAAACACTACAAAAAACAAATTTAATTGCGGAACAGATATAATATAGCGGTGATGTTGCCCTTTAAAAGTATGCAAACAAAACCCGAACCGGAAGTGTTCTCGGCTCCCTGTTTAGGCGGCCGGAAATGGCTCGAACACCATGTATAGCAACGAGAAGGTGCGAATGGTTCTTCTAGCACCCAGTGGGAACTTTTTTAGGGTTGTTTACAAACGCCACCTTACAAGAAAGTAGCGAAGTTTATTTTAATTTCATATGATATGATATACACATTGATGTGGTCAACAAATAATGGGGCTCGAAACGTGTGCAGCTTTTAACCAGTTGGAAGTACTGATTTTTTCAAACTTGAAAACAGCGCAAAAATTTGACAAAGGACGAGTGAAAGAAGTGCACGGACAAAGCGCTGACTATCAACTAACATTTAATTTTTAAGCGAACCAGAAAAGAAGCACAGGGAGCATAGGAAAGAATCAATCAAGACATAAAAATACAACCCAACCGACAAGGTTTCTACTACAACATCCCCCTCACACGTGCCTGCGATTCTCCTTGATAAAAAGGACTTCATCATGGCCCAAGTGCACCAACGGTGAGCTCACACATTCCCCTTCCCCTTTTGATAAAATGAAAAATGCCTCTTCAATCTCTCCGGCGGTCTTACTTTTATTACGCGTCAGGATCGTCAAGTCAATAAATATAGGTACGCAGCCGCACCTACTGCTATGTACCTCGAAGTGGCCAGCGGGGGAGGAACGGAGAGAAAGGGAATGCTCTCTCGCCCTAACATTCACGCACCTCCCCATTTGTCCAATGTACACCCTACCACGTGGGAAGGGGATCTGATACACAACTCCTAGTCCGCATGGTACAAAAGGAGTGCGGTGGTTGACATCACATTGCAAATCACTGGTACTCCCTCGGGTAACAGCAGCCACATTCAAAGAAAAGGGGTTCTTCCATTCGGTTCAACGCATTCTAAGCTTGTGAAGAGGGCGGTTACTACGGCGAGTATGAGGGCTTCTCTGCTGAAGTAATGCCACCGTAGGTTTGAGGACAGTTTATTGTTTCAGGTATCTGGGCTGAGATCGGCGGGATACCCTGTGACGTTGATAGTAAATGTGGCAGAGTCCCTCATAAAGGTGTTTAGGGGCCGACCCTGTCCTAAGGTTTGACAAAAAACCGACAACAAGACCGGTGGTGGTGCCTTATGTCCACGCCCTCCCCCATAAGGTCAAGCGAGTGGCGCACAAGTATAACACGCCAGTGGTATTTTCAGCACCCCAGAAGCTGTCACGACTGTTCTCTGCTGTTAGCCGAGGGAGTACCAGTGATTTGCAATGTGATGTCAACCACCGCACTCCTTTTGTACCATGCGCACTAGGGGTTGTGTATCACATCCCCTTCACATGTGTTAGGGTCAGGCACGTACCATGGGGTCCAAGCCCCGCCCCCCAAATCTTCCATTTTGCTGGGACCTCCTCTTCCCCCTCCCCCTCATACAGCGTTTTGTCATGGGCGGGCACCCCCTATTAAATATTGAGGACATTTCTCGCTAAATGTGGATACGCGCCCAACTACACATCTCACAGGAAAAGAATACCAAGGAGCATGTGCTAAGAAGAAAATTAAGAGATGCTACCGGCGCGAGCAGAGTTAGTTGGAACCGTTGATCGATGCAACATCAACCTTCAAGAGCCCTCCATATGTCTAGACTGTAAATATGTTGTATAAATCTCTTTTGTAAACCGGAGTGATCTAAATTATCGAATATTTTGGTGCCGAAACCCGGGACTCCAGCGACAATACGAGATCAGCGAACAGCAAACATGGAGCGGCTCCAGACGAAAAGGTTGGTGACGCGAGCCGAAATTGAACATCTAAGCGAGGAGATCCAAGCGGCGGTGTCAATTGAGGA